TTAACTCCCCTCTCCTCTCTCTCCCTCTCCTTTCTTTTAATGAATATATATATATATTTTTTTTTTGGCCTGGCATGGTAACTCATGATTGTAATCTCAGAACTCAGGAGGCTGAGGCTGAGGGGGGAGGATTGTGAGTTTAATGCCAGGAATGTACTATTTTTGTGCGTATAAAATGAGCTTATTCTTTAAAAAATACTTAAATATGTCTCAGTTTAAACTTCTAATAAAAATAGTAGGTGTAACTCACATATATAATAACAACTGGGTTCTCAACAATTTTTAAGAGTTTAAAGGGTCCAGATGATTAGGGAACCTCCCAAGCGAATCAACAACACAGGCACCGTTTACCTGTTTTGGCAGGGATGGGATCCCCAATCTAAGCCGGGCGGCTGAAGTGGGTCACCCTGCTGGCGCTGGCGGTCTGAAGCTGTCCTTCTGACAAAAGGCAGGGGGTTGAGGGCATTCAGAACCGTTCTCTTCTGTGAATCTGCCCTCAGTCGCGGCCCTGAGCTGCCCCTCCAGCCTCCTGTTGGCGGCCTCAAAAGGGCCCCAGGCTCTGATAGCGTCCGTGGATGGGATGTTGCGAATGACGAATTAGCTTCAAAGAGAGAAGTGGCGGCTGGGAAGAATATGGAACACGTGTTCTTGGATGCTTTGGCTGTGGTAGTTTCACTGTCCCCAGAGTGACTGGAGTCCTTGGACCCCCGAGACACTGAGCGGGGTGAAGAGGAGGCAGAGGAGGGGGTGTTTGTTTCTGTCCGTTGGACAGGAGGGCTCCCTGGGGCTGGGTTGCACTGTGGGTGCTGGCATGGTGGGGAAGTTAGTTTCCTTGTGGATGATGGGCTCAGTGTCCTGGGGCTCAGAGGTGGGCTGGGGGAGCTGGGGGCAGCAGGGAGGCCCGGCTGGGACAGTCCATGAGCGAAGGGCAGGTTGTGCAGCCTCCTGTCCCCTTGGGATGCCCACTGTGCTCTTGGGGGAAAGGCCTTTCTGACTCCAGGAGGGCTTCTCTCTGGACCCTTCCTGAATGCTTCTGAAGAGTGTGGATCTCGTGAGAATCTGGCCAGGCTGGACGCCAGCGTCCTGCCTTGCCCAGGTGTAGGGTTGGTGTGGTGCCAGGGAATTGCCTTCTGGTGATGCTTGGAGGAGCCTGCCACGTTCTCTGCTCGTGCCTGACTCTGAGCCCCACCTTCTGCCTCTGGTCTTGGGCTAACTGTTTGCTGGGAGTTCAGGTCCAAGGTCAACTTTCTGGAATTGCCCACATTCCTGGTGCTCCCAGGCCTGGTGCTGTGTAGCCTCGGGGAGCTGCCACTGCCTTTGTTGGGGAGCAAGTCCATGGGGCTCATGGAGGCTCTCAGCTTGGGGGAAGCCCATGTTCTTTTTGGATGGCTAGCCTCTTGAAGCCCTGGTAACAGAGTCTCTTCCAGGGAGCTCCCTATTGGCTGGCTGCATTCTGGATGCTCCAGAGCGGTGAATGATTTGTCCATCAGGACTTCCAGAGACGGTGGAGGAAGGTTCTCTAGGTCCTCCTCCACTTCACCGCTAGTGTCTTTACTCTCAGGTGCTTCTGCTGGAGGAAGAGAGGGATAGGGTGCGGAAGGCCTCCAGCCCATGTTCACCTTGAGAGGGTCTCTGCCTGCTGCTGGAGAAATCTGGGGCTTAGGATACAGAGGGGCTAGCCCCCTGTATATAGGAAATCTGGGAGGTATGGCAGGAAACCCCCACTTCCTGAGGCAGGGGTTTGACCCCAAGTTCCTACAGTCCCTTGGCATCCTCAGACTCTCAGCAGAACTGAAAGTTTCAATAAGCTTCTTGACAGATGTTCTGGTGGGACAGGCCCTGATGTCCCATTCGTTGTCCCTGGGAGGCCTACTGTTCTTCTTGCCACAGAAGACATTTGGCAGTGTTTCAGCCTTCCCCTGGCAGGGCTGATCACTGTCAAAGCAGGGACTACCTCTTTGGAAGATGCCCTTGTCTTGATTGGGCAAAATGCTGAAGTTTTGGGTGAGAGAGGCCTTGAACTTGCTGATGGCACTACTGGGACTCACCCTGCAGTTGGTGGAGGGCCATGGCAATGGTGCCCTGGATGGCAGACATTGCTCCCGGCTCTGCAACTGCCGTGGGGCACCCAGGGCATAAAATACCTCTAGCCTCCGACTGAGATCTGTCTGAACCCTCCTCAGCTCCTGGAGAGTGGGGTCTTCCACATGGCTCTTCAGGCATCCCTCTGACTGTGACCTCCTCTGTTTCTCAGGGGCCCTCCTGCTGCCACTGACTGATCTGGGTCTTGAAGGGACCACTCTTCTCCCTTCCTCCTCCTCAGCCCAGTCCTGGGGTCTGGAAGGCATGGGGACAAACTTGATCCTTTCACTGATGGCCTCTTTCATCTTTAGAATTATTTCCTGGGCCTGAGGGCTCCTAAGCTTCTCGGAGTATGTCTGAAACAGGCTTTCCCGGGTGACAGGTGAGGACTGTGGCCTTAAAGGTAGGGCTTCCTGTGGCTCAGGATGCAGATCCACGCTGCTAAGTTCATCTTCCTCCTCTGGGCTGCTGTCTTCATCTTCACTCAGGGATGGAGCATCTGTCAGCCCAGAGCTTCGAGAAAGTTGTGTCTGCACAGGGCTCTCAGTCCCCAGAGAGTCCCACGGAGTGCCTTTGGCAGTCTCTGGGGGCCTGGAGGCGACTGCTTCTGGGCCTGCGCTGGAAGTGCTCAAGCTCCTGGCTTCCTCCTGTACTGCAGGTTGAACCTTTGCTATCCTAGGACTGGACAGTGGACAGTCCTGGGGTCTGTCTGAACCTGTCCAGTATGGACCTTTCTGCCAGGCATGTCCTGACAGCCTGGCCTCCACTTGGCCTGCAGTCCCTGGCTTCCATTCTCCAAGTTCTGTTGCAAAGTCCCAGCTGGCTTGCTTGCCCAGCTTCTCCACGGAGTGCACAGACTCATTGTCAGCACCAATGCCACTGTCCTCGGAGCATAAGGGTGGACCGAGCAGCCCTGGGTCACTGTGGCCACTGGTCAGGCTCTCTAGTTGTCCCAGGGCCCTTAGGAGACATTCATCTATACCTCTCTTGGTGCTCAGCTTACCTTCCAGGTGACTAGCAGTGGATCTGAGGCAGCTGCTGGAACCTTCCAGGAATCCCCCAGTGAGGACGGCCACTGTGCCGTGTACCACCTGAAGTTTGTTGACTGTGTACTGCAGCAGCTGTTGAAGGAGGTCTGGGTGTTCCCAGGGCTCGCCTTTCCTCACTGGCCATGCCAGATCCCCTCTAACTTCCTGGAGGAGCACTTCTCCATCTTTAGAGATTTCTCCTAGAAGCTGGCTGGTCTCCTCAAAGCATAACAGCAGGAAGCTGAGCATGGACTGCAACAGCTCCCAGGTCTGGCTGGCTTGCTGTACGAGGCGCACGATTGCTTCATATCTGGAAAGGCTGGTGTGCAGGTAGGCATAAGCACGCTGGTGGGCCTTTACCAGGGTCTCAGGGAAGTCCACTTTGCCTTTTGACTCAGGAGCGGTTTGGTAGCAATGGTCCTGGCTGTCTGATTGATGGCACATTGGCTCTCTGTTCCCCTTTGAGGTCTCCCGGGGAGCGTTTTCCTTACTCTCTTTTGAAGAAAAATCTACTTCTTGTGTCCCATGGGAGCCTTCTGTCCTGAATGAAATGTCTGTAGCCATGTGGCTTTGTGCTTTGTTCATCTGGAAGATTCGGCTTTCTGGAATCAGTCCTTCCATATCTTTTGGGAGCTGACAAAGACCTTCAGCCATGGCCTGGAGCTTCTTGGAACTTGCCATCTCCTCTGCCAGCCTCTCTCCCAGGTACGGCTCCCCACCAGGGTCACAGAAGGTGGAACTTTGAACCAGCAAAGGGATGGGGCATTTTTGGCTGCCCCACTGACAGCCTGGCAAAATTGCTTTCGGCTTCTTAAAAAACTGAATGCCACTCTTGGCAACGCTGTTGACAATGGCGTTGTGTGATGGTGTGCACCCCATGGTTTCAGCTTGTCACCATCTTCTGTCTTCACAGCCTTCAGAGAATCCTTGGAACCTGTTACAGAAAGCTCTCTGGCTGATCTATCTGGACAACTCCAGACCAGATTGGGAGCCCATGGTACAAACTTCTAGACTTGGAGCCCCTGCCACAGTGAAGAGGCAGACATGCCTGTTGCCCTAAGTCTTGATGTGTTAGTAAGCATCAGGATGTTCTCACGGTCTCACGGGTTATAGACCTGTGTTTTGCTCCTCTCCTGACAGATGTGGATGGTAAGCAGCACTTTAAGCTTGTTAGGTTAATCGTGCCCCAGCCAGTCAGCACTCGGCGTGCTCCAATATAGAACGTCTCAGCATTTACTATCTTGGGAACAGATTATTTTGGCACGTGCTTGTGCTTTAATTCTGCTCAGATGCCTGCCGTAGGAAACCTAGAGAAACGAGCCATAATTGCAAAAGGTTTGGGAAGACATTGTGGGAGGGAAGTGGGGGCTTGCTGATTATAGAGCCTGGGAAAGAAGTGACCTTCGTAGCTTAATAAGGGCAAACCAGCTAAAGGCTCTGGTCTGCTTTTATCAGGAAGATCCAAATGCTGGGCATGGTGATGCATGCCTGAAATTCTGGCACTCAGGGGGCTGGGGCAGGAGGATTGCTAGCGTGTTTATTCAGTGAGTTCTAAGCTAGGCTGGGCTACAGAGTGAAACTCTGTCTTAAGGAAACAAAAGCAAAGCAAGACAAAACAAAATGCAAGAATAAACAAGAACTTCAGCAATAAAAAATGGAGTCAGATAGGAGGAATCATGTTCTTCCTGGTCTGGAGGAGGAAGGTAGGAAAACTCACCATCATACCTGCTCAACTCTAGCCAACAGAGCCCGCAGTGACTCAGGGCCATGGCCTTCTGGGAAAAGGCTTTTTAGTAAATGTCTATAAGAAAACAAACAAATCCTGGGCGGAGAGTTATTTGTTCCCAAGAACATAACTCTAACATAAAACATAGTCTATACCCTCCTCCCCCCACATCCCTTGTTTGAGTGACGGTCTCACTCACTATACAGCTCTGGCTGGCCTGGAACTTTCTGTGTAGACCCAGCTGGCCTTGAACTCACAGAGATCCCCTGCCTCTGCCTCCTGAGTGCTAGGATTAAAGTCATGCACGACTACTCCGGGCTCTGATTCCTTTTAAACATTATTACTGCTAGGGAAGTCTAGGGCAGGCACCTCCAATACACTGTCTAACATGAAATTGGAAACTGACTTAAAACATTATTATTATCCCGATTGCACAGTTCTCAAGTGTGAGCTTTGTAGACGACACTATCCTGTTGTAATGTCAAAAGGCTCTAGGGAGTAAGGGATTGGAAAAGGGAGGTAAGGGTTGACTTGGGGAAATAATAATGATAATGATAATAATAATAATAATAATAATAATGTTTATTTTTGGAACTGTATAACTCAGGTTGGCTTTAGGCTCAACGTAGTCCTATCTCAGTAGAAAGGATAACAGGTATACAAACACGCAAGCTGAAAAGTTGCTAACTCTGCTGAAGAAGCGTTTTGTTTTGTTTTTTGTTTTTGTCTTTATTAAAAATAGGGTCTTGTTATGTACCTAAGGCTAACCTGGAACCGACAACTCTCCAGCCTCAGCCTCTGGTGGGGATTAAGTCAATCAATGGTCCGGTAACTGCTTAACTTAGTCTCTTACGGCGCTTCCACTCATGTTAGACTACTTGTAATAGTAAAAGTCGTCTGAAAAGTCATAATTTATCAAGGCCTAGTCTTTTCTGGAATTTTTTGGAAATACCTGCCAACAGTGTGTCCTTCTGAACTCACCTTGCTTTTCTGCCATACCCATCTGTGTGGAAAGGTTCTGCTTGGTGCCAGGCTGACTCTCTGCTCTTAAACAGAATGGTTCCATCTTTCTGCAGAGGGCTAATATAAGCACTTCTCATTCTTGGACAACTAGCTTATTGACAGTTCTGAATTTTTATAATAGGAGAAAAAGTCACATGGTGATCCCCGAGGGTCCGGAGAGCATAGTAGTTATTCTGGCTTTGCTGGCTTTGTTGTTCCTTACTGAGGTCTGAAGCAGAAAGGACGGAGGAGCTACCTCCCTTGCTTTGAGCAATCAAGAGCCTGGCTACTGGGGCTCTGTGCAGAGCGCCATGCCAGTCACGGCTGGTGCCCCAAAGAGCATCATTAGTGAAGTTTCCTGCTCTGTTTATTTGAAGCAGAGCTCAAGGGAAACCCAGCTGAATCAGTACCTGGAGTGAGCTATGTTAGGCAGTGAAATGATTCATTCGTCACCTTCCTGGGCTGGCGGATAAACATGGACTCTGCGTGGAGACTGTCTTTGCAGAAAGCACATACATCTGAAGGATGCTTTACGCAAATTCTTCTCCTTTTGGGAATTGAGTCTCCCGTGTGAATTATCTGTGTACACACCTTTGATCTAAATGACTGAAAGTATTTCTAAATGAATGAACACGACCACAGTATTTGCCTGCTGATAGCTGTTAGTGCTATATCTTTCAAGCTGGGTTTCTTGCCTTGTATAAATAGTTTAGAAAACTGATTCTTTGTTGCTGTTCATTTTGCATTAGAACCAACTTCTATTTTTCTTTCTTTTTAAAGGGAGTAGTTTCAAATGATTAAAAAAACAAAACCCTCTCGGGTAAGAATGGGAAAAACTACTACTTTGGATAAAACTCACATTTAAACACGTGCTCTGTGATGCATCAATTCTAAGATTTTTTTTCAGGAGTATTGAATGCATATATGTCCACAGAGAAACTGGTATGAGAATATTCACTGTAAGCGTATCTATAATGTTCTCAAATTGGAGACCACATGATTGTCTGTCAACTGGGAAGGATAAATTTGATGTCTGTGCAAAATGAAACACCACTCAGCAATAAAAGGAGAAAACAAACAAAATATACACAACATGGATACATTTAAAATGGTTATGATGATGGATGGGCTGGCCCTGGTGGCTCACACTTGTAGTCCCGGGTACCCAGGAGGGTGAGGCAGAAAAATCTTGAATTTAAGTCTCACCTGCCTCAAAGAGAAAAAAGAAAGCCAATTGTGGCAGCACTCACCTTTGATCCTAGTACTTGGGAGTCAGTGGCAGGAGGATCTCTGTGAGTTCAAGGCCAGCCTGGTCTACAGAGCCAATTCCAGGTCAGCCAAGGCTACATAGTAAGACTCTGCCTCCAAATCCAAAAACAAACAAAAAACATTGCACCCCATCCCCCAGCAAAACCCATAGCCAGGTACAATGGTGGTGAAGGTCTATAATCTGGAGTTGGGTGGATAAGCCAGGAGAGTTACTGAGTTCTTAGCTAGTTGGGCTACAGTGTAAGTTCAAGACCAGCCTGGGCTTCATGCAGACATCAGAGCAAAAGAAAACATTAAAAAAATGTGAAAGATCCCAGGCATAGAAGAATACATATGAAAAGATTCCATTTATTTAATCAAGAGCAGGTGAAACCAACCTATGATTATTGATCAAAAGAATAGTTTCTTTAGGAAGAACTGTGGACTGGCTGTTGGACATGAAGAATTTCTTCAAATAGTGGAAACAGTTATATCTTGATCTAGGTGGTGGTTATCTAGGGATATGTATATGCATAAACATTCCTCAAGTTACACAGTTAAGTTGTGCACTTTGTGAACATTGCATATGTATTCCTAATTATGATACAGTATTGTATACTTTGTGTCAGAGAGAGCTCTAACTATGATGTTGCTGGTTTGGGTAAGGGTGCTGTTTTCATTATCTGTTGACACAAGCTAAGGTTATCTTTAAGGTGAGAACTTTAGTTGAGAAAAATCCTCCCCACAAGTTCTGACTGTAAGTCATTTTCTTATATTTTTGGTTGTGAGCCTAGCCTTTAACGGCTGACCCATCTCTCCAGGCCAAGACATCTTTTTTTAATTAGTGACTGATGGAGGAGGGCTCAGCCCATTGTGGGTGGTGCTATCCCTGGGCTGATGATCCTGGGGTCTATAAAAAAAAGCAGGCTGAACAAGCTGTGGGAAGCAAGCCAGTAAGCAGAGCTCCCCATCAGCTCCTGCCTCCAGGTTCCTGCCCTGTTTGAGTTCCTGCTCTGATTCCCCTCAGTGATGGACTACAATGGGGAAGTGTAAGCCAAACAAACCCTTTTATCCACACTTGCTTTTGGTCATGAATAGCAATAGGAACCCTAAGACAGATAACAAGAGACAGTTTCAATGTGCAATGAGTTTTGACCTGAAACTGAATTAACTTAAATGTAGTCTAGAGTTTAATACAGACAGGTTGGTTGGATTTAATATTTTTGGTTAGCTCTTTTTACTCAGTGAGGTTGCCATTGTGAATCATTGGTGTTGCTGTGTGCATCAGTGCACATATATGCATATAACAAATATAGTATTTATATTTAAGTAGTATTCCACACGAGAAGGTTTTTGTCTTCTCCAAAGACAGTGCTTCTCAACCTTGCTAACGCTGTAGCCCTTTAACACAGTTCCTCATGTTGTGGTGACCCCCCAACCACAAAATTATTTTTGTTGCTACTTCATAACTGTAATTTTTCTACTGTTAAGAACCGTATTGTAAATATTTTTAGTGATAGAGGTTTGCCAAAGGGGTCACAACTCACAGGTTAAAAACTGCTGTCTTAAACTGAATTCTCAGGTAACCTAAATATTGAACCACACATAGTACTGATTGTCAACTTTGAAATAATGCACTGTTGACACAAGATTAAAGGCTGGGCCTGAAAAGGTGCCTCAGAGGTTAAAGTGCCTGCTGCTCTTGCAGAGGCCCAGAGTTCGATTCCCAGAACCCACGTCGAGTACGCCACAACAGCCTGTAACTCCACGTTCGTCTACACACACAATGCCCCCCCCCAAATAAAAATCAAAGCCTTTAAAGGTAGATTTTATTTTCTTCACTATTGTCCATATGATGCAGGATATTGTGGAGATTTTTAGTGATAATGGAAAAAATTTAAAA